CTGCTGGACGTGTCTGTTAACAAGTTCATTCATAAAAAATCACACACGGTCCTTTCCTTTTTTACTTTCTCTTTCTGTTGTTACTTTGCAGCTGAAGTCCTCAACATTCCCTCAGGGGGTGATGCTAACTGTAGGCACTGCTCCGTCTGCGGCATGTTGGACTTTAATATGAGTTTAACACAATCTGAGCAGAAAGAGCTGGTTTAGTTGGAACTACAACAGGTGAACTGATTTGTGCTGTTAAATAAATCTCTCACACGTAACAATACACAGTGTTGGGGAGTAACAGATTACATGTACCAGAGTAATCAGAGTACAAATGATGAGTAACTGTATTCGGTTACAGTTACTGTTTCAGTGAGTGGTAATTAGATTACAGTTACTTTGTTGAAATAAGTGGATTTACACAGTGGGATTGTTCTGTTTTCACATTTTGGGCTAAATCCCTTTTTTTTTGGTAATTCCACTCATTGCTGGACACTAAACCAGGGCTAAAACCAGGTCTAAACCAGGACTAAAACCAGGTCTAAACTAGATCTAAACCAGGTCTAAACCAGGACTAAACTAGATCTAAACCAGGTCTAAACCAGGACTAAAACCAGTTCTAAATCAGAACTAAACCAGGGCTAAAACCAGGTCTAAACCAGGTCTAAATCAGGACTAAACCAGGTCTAAATCAGAACTAAACCAGGACTAAAACCAGGTCTAAACCAGGTCTAAATCAGAACTAAACCAGGACTAAAACCAGGTCTAAACCAGGTCTAAATCAGGACTAAACCAGGTCTAAACCAGGTCTAAATCAGAACTAAACCAGGACTAAAAACCAGGTCTAAACCAGGACTAAAACCAGGTCTAAACCAGGTCTAAATCAGGTCTAAACCAGGTCTAAACCAGGACTAAACCAGGTCTAAACCAGGTCTAAATCAGAACTAAACCAGGACTAAAACCAGGTCTAAACCAGGTCTAAATCAGGACTAAACCAGGTCTAAACCAGGTCTAAATCAGAACTAAACCAGGACTAAAACCAGGTCTAAACCAGGACTAAAACCAGGTCTAAACCAGGTCTAAATCAGGTCTAAACCAGGTCTAAACCAGGTCTAAACCAGGACTAAACCAGGACTAAAACCAGGTCTAAATCAGAACTAAACCAGGTCTAAATCAGAACTAAACCAGGACTAAAACCAGGTCTAAACCAGGTCTAAATCAGGACTAAACCAGGTCTAAACCAGGTCTAAATCAGAACTAAACCAGGACTAAAACCAGGTCTAAACCAGGTCTAAAACCAGATCTAAACCAGGACTAAAACCAGGTCTAAATCAGGACGCCGAAATCGGTGCCGATTTCCAATCACGTGATCGGACCGGGACAACCCTAATTGTAGCCGCAGCTGCCCTGGGGCAGACTGAAGGATGTGAGGCTGCCAATCTGTGCCATTGACCCCGACAACCACCACCACCAAGTGTCTTACCGAAAGACACAGCGACACGGTTTTTCCATCTGGCGCCTCCTGTGGGACCTGATTTTCCCAGCGGTCTCCAGTCCAAGTCCAGTCCAGGTCCAGTCCAGGTCCAGTCCAAGTCCAGTCCAAGTGCAGTCCAGGTCCAGTCCAAGTCCAGTCCAAGTCCAGTCCAGGTCCAAAGTCCAAGTCCAGTCCAAGTCCAGTCCAGGTCCAAACCAAGTCCAGTCCAAGTCCAGTCCAGGTCCAGTCCAGTCCAAGTCCAAGTCCAGTCCAAGTCCAGTCCAGTCCAGTCCAAGTCCAGTCCAAGTCCAGTCCAAGTCCAGTCCAAGTCCAGACCAGGTCCAGTCCAAGTCCAGTCCAGTCCAGTCCAGTCCAAGTCCAGTCCAGTCCAGTCCAAGTGCAGACCAGGTCCAGTCCAAGTCCAGTCCAAGTGCAGACCAGGTCCAGTCCAAGTCCAGTCCAAGTCCAGTCCAAGTCCAGACCAGGTCCGACCTTTGAGCTCCCGAGACTTAACGGGATCAGACTTCGACAGGAGCTTCAGTCAGATCTGTCATCATCACATCTATAAACACATGAGTCTGTGTTTGTTTTGTGTCGTCACAGAGGCTGCTGAACATTCCACCGTAGACACATGTAGAACACCCCCAGCGTGATGTCACCGCAGAGCACCAGCTGGATTCTTGGACCATAACACACGAGTCTATATTTACCAGCGCGAGCAGCCAGACGTCTGTGAAGAACACGGCGAGCGTCGTTTTCCTCGTGTTTTGAGGATTACAAATCTGTTTTTTCGTAATCGAGTTTGTGAAGGCCGCGGCGTTTCTGCGCGACGGAGAATCTGCACGGACAGAATTTTAATGGGTTTTAAATGTCATCCGATGTTTTAGTGAGAGCGCGGTCGACACGCGAGCACCGAGGAGACAAAATTATTATAAATTACTGTACGAGATTAGAAACGGTTCAGTGTTACGCAGTGTTTGATGTGATTATTTTTATCTCGGGTCTTATTTTTACTGCCTTAACAACGTCACAATAAATATAAAAACAAAGAGAAAAAATATCATAAATTGTAAATAAATAAGTGGTAAAAATAAGGCAGAATTATATAAATGAACAATTAAAATATAGAAATGAAGAGTTTGATTTAGTCGAGAGTTTTTAGGAGGAAATCTGCTGCAGACGGAGACGCAAAAGTTTGTGGAATTAGACTGTGTGTGTTTGTAATTAAAGCAACAAGGACCAGGACCAGGACTGAGACCAGGACTGAGACCAGGACCAAGACATGGACCAGCCATGATTGAGACCGGGACCAGCCTGGGACTGAGGCCAGGACCGGACCAGGACCAGGACCAGACCAGGACTGAGACCAGGACCAGGCCGGGATCAGACTGGGACTGAGACCGCAACCAGACTGGGACCAAACCAGGACCAGATCGTGATTGAGACCAGGACCAAACCGGGACCGAGACCGCAACCAGACTGGGACCAGACCAGGACTAAGACCAGGGCTGAGACCGGACCAGACCGGGACCACGACCGCAACCAGACCCGGATCAGACCAGGACTGAGGCCGGGACCAGACCAGGACTGAGACAGACTGAGACCGGGACCGGACCAGATCTGAGACCGGGATTGAGACCGCAACCAGACGGGGACTGGGACCGGGACCGGACCAGGACCAGACCAGAATTGAGGCCGGGGACCAGACCAGGACCAGACGATGATTGAGATCGGGACCAGACCGGGAACAGACTGGGACTAAAACTGAGACCAGACCAGGACCAGACCGGACCAGGACTGAAAACAGTTAAGTCCTGGTTCAGTCCATTATCCTTTTTTTTTCCATTTTTCGTTTAAACATAAAATCGAAAACTGAAAAAACGAATCATCATCTGTTTTTGGTTTGTTTTTTTTTTTATTTTACTTTTGGAGACAAATAATGAAGAAAATCTTTGTTCTTTCATTTTCTTATTTTTGGTTTTATTTTGAAAAACAAATGAACGAACGACACACAGATTTAAACAGACTAAATAACAAAGCGTCCAGCTCTGTTTTTGTTTTTGAGTTTTAACACCATTAGAACACGACTTAAACCTCCCGAGAGTCGGTTCTGCGTAACACAAGACCTTTAAAAATAATTTATGAGGCGTTTGTGATTTGATGATTGCGTCCGTTCAGATTTAAAGTTGGATTTGATTGTAATTAATCTCGCGACGCTTCTGCTGAACTAAATATAAATATGTAAACACGGCGCAGTGACGAACGCGACCGTCACAGGATTATCTGGACTCGATAAACACACAGATAAATATTTATAACTCTTTCCATCGTTGGCATCTGATACTTTCCAAAACCGGTGCAGACTAGTGCAGACTAGAACTAAACTGGGACTAAACCAGGACTAAACCAGGTAGAACTCATCCTTAGTCCTGGTTTAGTGTAGACTAGAACTAAACTGGGACTAAACCAGGACTAAACCAGGTAGAACTCATCCTTAGTCCTGGTTTAGTTTTAGTCTGCAATAAACCAGGACTAAGGATGAGTTCTACCTGGTTTAGTCCTGGTTTATTGCAGACTAAAACTAAACCAGGACTAAACCAGGACTGAGGATGGGTTCTACCTGGTTTAGTCCTGGTTTAGTCCCAATTTAGTTCTAGTCTACACTAAATCAGGACTAAACCAGGACTAAACCAGGACTGAAGATGGGTTCTACCTGGTTTAGTCCTGGTTTAGTCCCAATTTAGTTCTAGTCTACACTAAATCAGGACTAAACCAGGACTAAACCAGGACTAAACCAGGACTGAGGATGGGTTCTACCTGGTTTAGTCCTGGTTTAGTCCCAATTTAGTTCTAGTCTACACTAAATCAGGACTAAACCAGGACTAAACCAGGACTGAGGATGGGTTCTACCTGGTTTAGTCCTGGTTTAGTCCTGGTTTAGTCCCAATTTAGTTCTAGTCTACACTAAATCAGGACTAAACCAGGACTAAACCAGGACTGAAGATGGGTTCTACCTGGTTTAGTCCTGGTTTAGTTGTAGGCTGCACTACACCAGGACTAAACCAGGACTAAACCAGGTCTTAACCATCACTACATTTAGACAACAGTGGGAATAAACCAAGACTAAACCAAGGACTTTTTTTTTTTAACTTTTTTTTATTGTTGTTACAAAATAATAATAATAACAAAAAATAAATAAAAATAAATAATACAAATAACAACAAAAATAATAATAAAAAATAAAAATAAACAAATAATAATAATAATAATAATAATAATAATAATAATAAAAATAAATAAATACACACCAGAAAGGGCATAGTCTTCATTTACGTATCATAATTCAGACATCAAAAGAGAATGTTTTAAGTCCAAAAATAAGTTCAAGTTACACACAATCAATTTTTTGCTGTGAGTTTTTCCAGCGAAAGGAAAGACCGCGCCTCCTTTAAGCCTTTGGTTTTGTTTCGCAACTGACTTCCAGTGAAATACAACAAGCCCACGAACTAATAAGCAGAAAATGCAGAAGTTTTTTCTTGAATTGTTACCCGTGAAATGTGGTGGCGTTTTTCCTGTAATTTACAACGCATTTTTCAGCAAATTGCTTCTCCTTTCTTGGCATAAAACTGTGATTTATTTATTTACAACCGGTATTACCACGACGACTTAAGCAGCAGCAACGAGATCATTTAATCGTGGGTGTCTAAAGTTTAGTTACTGATTGACGGAACCGGGGGGAATCACGAGACAAAGGTGTCGTTTTATCACCAGAACGACTCGATAATAAACCTTTGCTCAAACATCAGTGCCTCATTTTCATCATGTTCTGGACTCTGGCGCTGACTCTGCTCTTTCTCCGCTCTGCCCAGGCCGACGGCAGGTACGTACGTTTTACCATCGGTTGAAGATTTACGGAATTATTACATCACAAAAATAGACTTTATATTGCTTACTGAAACCTCCAAATGCAAACCGGTGATGCCCTAACTCTAATCAAGACATTAATGCCACAGTATGTCACTTTTTAGCCCCCAAAAAATAGAAAAAAATCAAAGCGTGTGTGAAAGTTTGGTTTTAACTTTATATTTCTGTGGATTCGAGATGGTTACAGGTCCAGAAAGTTACATACTGTGTCTTTAATCGTAGTTAAGACTGAATCATTCTTAATAATGATTAGTTAAGCCTTTGTTCATGCTTTATTAATGCTAATTAAGGTGTAATTTTTAGTCTCATAATTTAAATGTGAGTGCAGTTGTAATTATTTTATTTTTGTTTTGTAAGTTATTCTACGGTGTAACCAGATTTTTTTAAAGCTTGTTTTTACATGTAATTTAATCATTTAAAAAGGTGCACTTTGTACAGTTACAGGTCAGATCTGTGTAGAGGCGAGTAAAGAAGGCATGTTTTCCAAGTTATTTTTGAACAATTAAAACAGTATAAAACAAAAAAGTATGGAAATGTTTAATACACTGTGGTACAAGCCAAACCGTATCCATGGAGATAAGCAGTGAGCCTTTCAAATGTTTTTATAATTAATGACATTTGAATGACATTATACTAATTCTGAATTCTACAGAGTGGAGTATGACTACTTCAAGTACCACAACATGCAAGAGGTAAGAATCAAATATTCACTGTAGAACGAACAACTAAGAACATTTATACAAACAATAAATATTGCAAAATGGATTTCTGTTCTAATGTCGTTTCCTCATCACAAACAGACCTGGAGTTGTGTTTTGTTTCATTCACACATGTTTAACACACAAAAAAAACTGCATATTTAGGCCCCATTCACACTAGTTCTTATTTGAGTTGTTTTCGTTGTGGATTCAGTGTTCGTTCACACTAATCCGACTGAAAACAGCTCCAGAGACGGAACGATCTGGTGCCTCCAGCTCCCACGAATTCATGGTAAATGGTCACATTTTTCTATAGCGCTTTTCCACCACCCATTCACACACACATTCACACACCAGTGTACACAGACACTGTGGGTAAGGTGGGTTAAGTGTCTTGCCCAAGGACACAACGACAGCATTCATCTGTCAGAGCTTTAATCACACCAGCTCCTGTGGGTCAGTGGATCTGACCACTCAACCTGTGATGTTTATGTCGAGAGCTGGAATCGAACCACCAACCTTCAGATCAGTGGGCGAATGCTCCACCAACTGAGTACATCTGAGTACAGATCTGATTCGGCACCGTGTGGACGCCTGAAAACACTGATACTCTGATGTACGTTGATGCGCCGCAAAGTCATTCACCGACAAAACACTAAGAGACGAGAATATGTGTCCATATAAACGTGTGTCTGTGTGTACGACCTGCACACGTATAATCTCTGAAAAGTTTCACATGAACCAACTCCACAGAACAGACTCACCATCAGCAGAACACCCCTCTGTCACAGAAACAACACTCATATTCCACTGAGTCACGTCCTTTAGTCCAACAGAAACTGAACCGTGTCAACGACACAAGGAAAGAGATGTTTTTATGAACACTCAGTTTATGCAAATGACCCAAGTTTTGTTTCTGTAAAATGTAAACAAATGTGCTCAAAGTTGTGTGGATAGGGACGACTTGCGGACACAGAAATGAGTCGGTTCACACTCTGAGCCGCCATGCACGTCTTAAAATCCAGTGAGTTCTTGGGTTTGGTCAGTCATAGAAAAGTTCCACATTTGTGCATTCACCTTTTGGATATTTCATGACAAAGTACAAGTGTAATCAAAAGGTAAAAACTGGCCCTTGCCCCCGACATCGTCACATTCTAGAATCTGAAACGCACCAATAAAAAGTCATTTGTAATAAAACCTTATCAAAGTCGTATAAAACTATTAAAAAGCAATCACGTAGCATTAATGTAATGAGACACAGATTGACTTCCTTAAAGAGGAGGACAGTGACACGTCTGAGCGGCATGAACTGATAATGCTTATTTATTTACGATTGCGCTGTTAACCATAAACAGGAGAGATCACTAGATTACGCAAACACGCATGGGTGACATCTAAAACCTCCTCAGTCGTGTTTTTGACGAGGGAACGACGTTTGAACATGGAAGAAAGCTCCAAAAAGTCGATTTAGCACCTCCTTAATCATGAACCGATGATGTTTTATTCATGGTTTTTTTTATATTTACAGATCACCAAGTGGAAGACGGACATCGCCGCTGCTTATAAAGACGTCGTGAAGATTGTGGAATATGGGAAAACCTACGAGAATAGAACCATCGACCTCCTCAAGGTAAAATACAGTTTGTCTCACTTTTCTTATGCGTTTAAACCAGGGGTGTCACTCATTTTGTTCCGGGGGTCGTGTCCAACCGACTTTGATCTTTAAGTGTCCGGATCAGAAAACTCATGTCATATAAACCCCAAAAATAACAATAAGTTCAAATATTTGTGCAGAGAAACACAAATCTATTACAGAAATCTTTTTTAATTTTTGAACTCTTTCTTTTACAAAATATTATAATATTATGAACAACCTGAAACTTTAAGAAAAATACAATTTCGACACAAAGTTTTAACATAAACTTGTATGTAAATAGGAATAAGTCCATTTTTGTTGTAAAATCCTGCACTCGGCTCCACTTTTCTCATGTTGGACATTTTTCTGATGAGGGTGTCACGGTCAACAGTCAAAACGATCGTCCTTTAAGAGCGTTTGGAAAGAGACAAGTCTTCATTTGTGCTGCTCTGGTGGGAGGGGCCACGTACAGAGACGCTGGAGACGCTGCTGCGATAAACACCACAGAAAATTTACAAGATTTTAATAGAAAATATCATTCAATCTTTAGAAGAAAATCAGCCGAGGGTCAGATTAAAGGGCTTGGAGGGCCGGATCTGGCCCCCGGGCCGTATGTTTGACACCCCTGGTTTAAAGCGTCCGAATTATTCACCACGATGAGTTTATAAGCGAGTTTCACAACTTTCAGAGACCAGAGCGGAGTTTTGTCAGCACAGTAAAGCCAACGACAACTAGCATGCTAACAGCGCACTTCCTGATGATCACAACTGACTTATTTTGACCTTATTAAGAGCTGCTTATACAAAATATCTGTACTGGGGCAAGACACATTTTGTACATGGAAACATCTGGTTATGTGTTTTTGTAATTTGTTTGAGTAATATTTTGTTTTGTAATTTTAATTGTAATTTTATTTTTTTTATATTTTCAGATAGGTTTACCCGGTAATAACAAGAAAATAATTTGGATGGATTGTGGAATTCATGCAAGAGAATGGATCGCGCCTGCTTTCTGCCAATACTTTGTCAAAATGGTAAAAAAAAAAAAAAATCTCCACCTATACATATATTTATAAAGTTGTAATCAGGGCAGTTCTGTGTGATATCATATAGTACTTGAAGGCAGAATACACTCACACAGCAGTTTTTGACCAGAAAGCTGCAAATTTACTGAATTTGCACTAAAATTGTCCCAAAAATTACTAGAAACAAAAACTAATGCTATTAAAAAGACCAATTAAGTAGAAAAAAAAAAGTGTATTGTTTAGTTTCACTTTAATTTCACGATAATATTATTCAAATATTTTACACTGACTTATACAAAATCTGTGTGTCATTCGTTTATTCGTTTTTCAAAATAAAACCAAAAATAAGAAAAGTAAAAAACAACTATTTTCTTCATTATTTGTCTCCAAATCCAAAATGAAAAAACAGATAATGATTTGTTTTTTCAGTTTTCAATTTGTGTTTAAATGAAAAATGGAAAAAACGGATAAGGAACTGAACCAGGACTAAACAAGGACTAAACAGGACTGAACCAGGACTAGACCAGGACTAAAACAGGACCGAACCAGGACTAGACCAGGACTAAAACAGGACTAAAAAAGGACTGAACCAGGACTAAACTGGGACTAAAACAAGAGTAAACCAGGACTAAACAAGGACTAAACCAGGACTAAAGCAGGTCTAAACCAGGACTAAACCAGGAGTGACACCCGTGTTGACTGTCGGGTGATCAGGACTGAGACCAGGACCACACTGGGACCAGACCGGGACCAAGGACACGACTGAGACCTGGACCTGGTTTAGTCCTAGTTTGGTCCTGGTTCAGTCCTTTATCCGTTTTTTTTCCATTTTTCATCTAACCACAAAATCGAAAACTGAAATCATTTTTTCATTTTGGTTTTGGAGACAAATAATGAAGAAAATATTTTTTTTTTTTTCATTTTCTTATTTTTGGTTTTATTTTGAAAAACAAATGAATGAACGACACACAAATTACACACGTTCATTCATTATTTTTATATTTTAGATTCTTGACACCTACAAAACTGATCCTAAAATGGAGCTGATGATGAAAAACATGGACTTCTACGTGACCCCGGTCCTGAACGTGGACGGGTACATGTTCTCCTGGATAAATCAGACCGTGAGTACAGAGAATTACTCAGAGAATTACTGCAGTTTAAGTCTCACTTTTCTATTTTGGTTTGAATGAGAACGAAGATTGAGTTTGAAGAGGAAACAGATTAGATTTAATCACAGAGGAAATTGATTTAAAAATAGATGAGTGAAGGATTAAGTGGTTCTGGTGACGAGAAACGAAACCAGGTCTTAACAAGATCTAAACCAGTACTTAATCAGGCCTTTACCAGGACTAAACCAGATCTAAACCAGGTCTAAATCAAGACTGAACCAGGACTGAACCAGGACTGAACCAGGACCGAACCAGGACCGAACCAGGACTAAATGTGGCCTAACTTAACCAGGCCTTACCCTGTCCTAAACCAGTTCTAAACCAGGTCTAAATCAAGACTGAACCAAAATGAACCCAGGTCTAAAACAAAACTTAATCAAGTCTTAAGCAGGACTGAACCAGGACTAAATCAGGACTAAATGTGGTCTAACTTAACCAGGCCTTACCCTGTCCTAAACCAGGTCTAAATGAGGACTGAACCAAGACTAACCCAGAACTTAACCTGGCCTTAACCAGATCTAAACAAAGTCTAAAACACGACTAACCCAGATCTAAACCAGGACTTAACGAGGCCTTAACTAGGACTAAACCAAGTCTAAACAAAGTCTAAACTAGTTCTAAACAAGCTGTAAACGATGACTAAATTAGAACTTAATCAGTCAAGCCAGGACTAAATAACTGGGTCTAAAACAGTTCTAAACCAGGACTAAACCAGGTTCAAACCCGATCTAAACCAGATGAAAACCAGATCTAAACCAAGACTAACCCAGGTTCAAACGAGATGTAAACCACATGTAAACCAGGTCTAAACCAGGTCTAAAGCAGGTTCAAACCCGATCTAAACCAGGTCTAAACCAGGTCTAAACCAGGACTAAACCAGGTTCAAACCCGATCTAAACCAGATGAAAACCAGATCTAAACCAGGACTAACCCAGGTTCAAACCAGATGTAAACCAGATGTAAACCAGGTCTAAAGCAGGACTAACCCAGGACTAACCCAGGACTAAACCAGGACTAACCCAGGACTAACCCAGGTCTCTTGTCTCAGACTCGTTTGTGGAGGAAGAACAGAAGTCCTGGTCCTTGCGGCTGCTCTGGGACCGACCTGAACAGAAACTTTTACTCCAACTGGGGAAGTGAGTACAACAAAATATAAATAAAACTTTAATATTTTACAAATCATATGCAATTATAGTAAGTGTTAAATAAAAAGAGAAATGTTATAAAGATGTAAATTTGTTTAAAACTGAAGAGAAATACCACAGCACGTTGTCGTTTTGATAAGGGAGGTTTTATAAGTGTTTGGCGACATCTAGTGGTGAATGTGTGTATTACAGTTCATCTACAGCAGCAGAAGCAGTAGTGTCATAGTTCTGGTTTCACACATCAATGTGTCAATGTGTCAGAAGTGTGACCCAATGATCATGCGACGAACGACCGGAATTATTTTTAAGAAGAATAAATGTTCACATGATCAAGGAATTAATTCAGCTTTAAAATCAGAATAAAACATCCACTTACTTTAAATTTTATTCTGTGTGTTTACATGGTCTTTTTAAAACGAAATTGATTATTATTCAATATTAAATAATTTAATTTAAAATTAAAACTCTCATGTAAACATGGTAAATGAGGTGTACCACAGTAGTAGTCGTAGTAGCAGTAATATGAAGTGTATATATTTTCACATTAATGATATAATGTTTTATTTGTATATGATTTGAGTAATACATCATTATTTATAGAGCGCTGTTTAAAAACATGGTTTATAAAGCGCTGCACTCGCACAGAACACTGATACACTATTTATCTAAGTATTTATAATGGGGGTTCATTACAGTACTTTTGTAACAGTAGTACTTTTTCCTTGTGTAGCATTGGTCTTTTAGTTGTAGTAATAGTAGCAGTAGCAGTAGTAGTAGTAATAATCCTGCAGTAGTTCATATATCTTCTGTTTTTGCAGCGGTGGGCGTCTCGTTCAACTGCTGCTCTCAGACGTATCCAGGCTCGGGGCCGGTGTCCGAGCCCGAAGCCCAGGCCGTCACTCAGTTCATGGGGAACATTTCAGGAAACGTCCTGGCCTTCCTCACCATCCACTCGTACGGACAACTCCTCCTCATCCCGTACGGACACCCGCAGGTCATCGCCCCCAACCAGGACGAGCTGGTACGACACAAACCCACCGTGTCCTCGTGTCATGCAGCGTGAATGAATGAATGATGCTCTGTAGTGACTTGGGTGTCATGAAAGGCGCTTTGTAAATCCAGTGCACTGTTATTATTATTAAAATATAATGTTATTATAATATTAGTACATTAAATAAATGAAACATGTTTTTTTTCTCAGATGGAGGTGGGGCTGGCTGCAGCTCAGGCCATAGAGAAAATCCACGGGATGAAATACAAAGTGGGAACATCTCCAACTGTTCTGTGTAAGGACAAAAACAACTACAAGTAGAAGATGTAGTAGTAGTAGTAGTAGTAGTAGTAGTAGTAGTAGTAGTAGTAGTAGTAGTGGTAGTAGTGGTAGTAGTGATTACTCTTCTTCTGTGTCTGTAGATCCAAACTCGGGCTCGTCTCGTGACTGGGCTCGTCTCCAGGGCGTCCCCTACTGTTTCACCTTTGAACTGCGGGACAACGGGACTCACGGCTTTGAGCTTCCGGAGGATCAGATCCGTCCGACGTGTGAGGAGGCCTACAGCGGAGCTCTGCACATCATCACCCACGCTCACGACAAAACCTTCAACATCTACAGCAGCGCTCCTGCTCGTACTGCAGACGCCCTGTGGGGGGCGCTGCTGCTCACTCTGCTCAAGTGGATCATGTAATATGAATGTGAGGATAAACCAGGTCTAAACCAAGTCTAAACCAGGTCTAATCCAGGTCTAATCCAGGTCTAACCCAGGTCTAAACCAAGTCTAAACCAGGTCTAACCCAGGTCTAACCCAGGTCTAAACCAGGTCTAAACCAGGTCTAAACCAGGTCTAAACCAGGTCTAAACCAAGTCTAACCCAGGTCTAACCCAGGTCTAAACCAGGTCTAAACCAGGACTAAACCAGGTCTACACCAGGTCTAAACCAAGTCTAATGCACGTCTAACCCAGGTCTAAACCATATCTAAACCACGTCTAAACCAGGTCTAATCCAGGTCTAAACCATATCTAAACCACGTCTAAACCAGGTCTAATCCAGGTCTAACCCAGGTCTGACCCAGGTCTAAACCATGTCTAAAATAGGACTAAACCGTGTCTTAATCAGGTCTAAACCAGGTCTAAACTAGGACTAACCAGGACTCAACCATGTCTTAACCAGGTCTAAATCAGGTGTAAACCAGGACTAAACCAGGACTGAACGAGGACTAAACCAGGACTAAACTACGTCTAAATCAGGTCTTAACTAGACCTAAACCAGGTCTACATCTGGACTAAAATAGGGCTAAAATAGGACTAAACCAGGTCTAAACCAGGACTTCACTCGTCCCTGTTCCCTGAAGTTCAGACCTTGTGCCACTAGAGGGAGCCATTTATCACATTTCCACAGATTTTTCACCCTGTACTGTCGTGTTTTGTCTTTGATTGACTTTTTTCATAGTTCAATAAAGATTTGTATTAAATCTATCAGCTGTTTACACGTTAAACAACTTAATTTAAAGCTGCACTGTGTCACTTTTCTGATGGAGTCTCTTTCACTTTCCTCCACACAGATGTTATTTCTTTGCGATTATCCGATTATTTTTGAACTTTAAACCCGCTTGTAGTTGAATAAATGTGAAGTGGAGCTGTTTAAAGTCACACTGCGGAACATTCCAGACAGACAAACAAGCTCCAGGAAAGTTATCTGGGTCAAAAACGTATTGTTCCAGGTTCGTTTCTTATCTGAAGAGGACACAAAGACTCTCTGTTTATCTCTTTCCATTGATATAAAAACGTCGTAACAGTTTATTACGGTTAAAGATCAAAACGTTCACATAAACAGCTGTTAAAGTTTGAAGTTTACGAAAGCAGACCTGTTCAAAATTAACTTTCCAGAGCTTTCAGATAACACTTGTGGACCACTCTGAAAATACGGCAGAATAATGATATGACCTACTTTGCGTTGAAATGTATTTTATAACCGTATTTCTTCACACCGAATACTTGAAATTCCTTTACTGATGTGAAATCACGCCGGGGGTTGTTCAGGGGTCACCGTGGAGCGCTGTCCAAAAACGTTTTAAGTCCGACTCTGACAACTTAACTCAAAAAAATAAAACACAAAATGGATTTAAAGAGCGCGTTTTCGGGAACCGGCGACGAGTCCGAGCTTCGTTTTCAACAGAAAGATGAGAGTGACTAACGTGTGACTGTAAATTTATGAGCAAGAGACTTTTTTTTTTGTTTAACAGCACAGATCAGCTCCTTTGTTGTTTTTCCAGCTAAATCCGTCCTTTCTGGTCACAAAGTTCAGAGTAATTTGAGTAACAGAGCTTCAGACAGACTAGTGCCTCCAGTTAGCGTCACACTTCCAAGGAATGTTGATGATGAAGCTGCAAAGTGTCGATTTTGAGTTGTCGTATATCCAGTGTGCAAGAAAAAAAGAAAATGAATTAGAGAATAGTGAATACCTGCATTAAAACTGTGTTTGTAACATATTTGATTACATGCTCCATTCAAAGTTTTACATTACAAATATATAGATATAGTTTTTTACATTTTTTTTTTTACATGTATACATATTAGGGATGTAACTATGTTCTCACAATAATATCGTGGACCATCACAATATATCGAATTTCAAGTCTCTTTGCTTAAATTAAGAGTGATGTAAAAAGTAAAAACACAGAGGGAACTACATAGATCAGAGGTGCTCAATACGTCGATCTCGATCTACCAGTCGATCGCCAAGGTCGTGTGGGTAGATCGCCGTGTCTCGTCTCGGACTCGATCGCGTTTGGACTCGGTCTTGTCTCTCACTCGAGGTCTGACACTCAACAAGTGTGATCATATTTCATTCCGGCCGCTGCTGTTGGTAATAAACTTGTAGCGGGTGCAGGAGCGTGTGGGGCGTCTCAGTGCAGCCTGTGCGCTCATTTGAAACCCGCGGAGACTCTACGGCGCATCACAAACACACACGCTCCCTACGCACGGCTCGTCTGCGACAGCGTGTGCCCTCGTGTACCAGCGTGCATCACAGGGCAGGTTCAACTTCCTAAACATCCTACCTGTCCATCTGCCTCACGTCAGCACGCCGCCCCTCGCCTTTTCACGCTCTCGCTCCTTCCTGCGTACAGCGAACACAAGCCCCTCCCACAGTGCGGCTGATTAGAAGAGCAAGACCAAACGTGAAGCAAAAACCAGTCTAAATTTGTGTTACAGTGTTGGCACAAAGCAGGTCTACAGCATAGAGCGGATCTACAGAAGGCAGTAGGCAGGAATAAATTGAATTCCAGAAGTTGTTGTTGTAAAAATGTGTCAGTTGCTGGGATCTTCTGTGGAATTCACTGTTTATTCCAGTTTCTTCTGTATATATTCCTGCTCATCTAAAAAAAATTACAGGGGAAATCTTCCAGTTTTTGAAAATACCACATTTGTAAGTTCACAAACCATATTTCAGTTTCATATTATTAGTGGCTCAGACAAAACTCAGACAAACGTGCAGGTTTTTCACTTCCTCAACAGATACAGTTTATTTTTGCTGCATCTGTCAGCTGTTTTTATGACCTCACTGAAGGATTAGAGTCTTAGCTTTGGAGCATTTCTGTAAAAAAAAAACTTTGAAAAACTTTGTGTACGAATGATGACATAAAAATAAACTTGTCTTTAAATGTTCACTGTGCAACTGCAGTGAAACTCCAGGCCAAGTTACAGGTCAGATCTGTGAAGAGGCAACCCCAGTCATAAGTGCTGTAGTACTTGAGACGTGGGCTTGGTCTCGAGACCGCTTTTTTACGGTCTTGGTCTTGATGGCGCTTGGTCTCGGACTCGTCTCGGTCTCGTCTCGGTCTCGATGGCCCTCAATCTCGGTCTTGTCTCGGACTTGGTGGCACTTGGTCTCGGTCTTGTCTTGTGTTGGTCTCGGTCTTGTCTTGTGTTGGTCTCAGTCTTGTCTTGGTCTCAGACTCAGTCTCGGTCTTGTCTTGGTCTCGGTCTTGTCTTTGTCTTGGTCTTGGTCCTGGTCTTGTCTTGGTCTCAGTCTCGGTCTTGTCTTGGTCTCAGTCTCGTCTTGGTCTCAGACTCGGTCTCGGTCTCGTCTTGGTCTCTTGGTCTCGGTCTTGTCGTCTCGGTCTCGGTCTCGGTCTCGTCTCGGTCTCTCTCGTCTCGGTCTTGATGGCCAGATCCGGCCCTCCAAGACCTTTAATCTGGCCCTTGTCTGATTTTCTACTAAAATATTTGAATGATATTTTCTATTAAAATCTTGTTAATTTTCTGTGGTGTTTATCACAGCAGCGTCTCCAGCGTCTCTGTACGTGGCCCCTCCCACCAGAGCAGCACAAATGAAGACTTGTCTCTTTCCAAACGCTCTTAAAGGACGATCGTTTTGACTGTTGACCGTGACACCCTCATCAGAAAAATGTCCAACATGAGAAAAGTGGAGCCGAGTGCAGGATTTTACAACAAAAATTGACTTATTCATATTTACAGACAAGTTCATGTTAAAACTTTGTGTCGAAATTACATTTTTCTTAAAGTTTCAGGTTGTTCATAATATTATAATATTTTGTAAAAGAAAGAGTTCATCAATTAAAAAAGATTTTTGTAATAGATTTGTGTTTCTCTGCACAAATATTTGAACTTATTGTTATTTTTGGGGTTTATATGACATGAGTTTTCTGATCCAGACACTTTGAGATCAAAGTCGGTTGGACACGGCCCCCGGACCAAAATGAGTTTGACACCCCTGATCTTAGAGGTACATTTCGGTCTTTTAAAAACATGTCAACAACACCCGAGTCTGTCAAAAACAACCGTTATTTAAACGCCATACTGTGGAACATCATTGACGTTTCCATGGAAGCTGCACCCCACCGGAAAATTGCATCATACGCCTTTAAATAAATCCTTGATAACGTACTGAAGGAGTTTCCAAAAATGTTTCTTTTTCCTCTCAGTTCCATCTGTTTGTTGTTATCGTGATGAGTGTAAGAATACTGTACGCTCTCTCTCTCCTTTACTGTTTCAATAAATCAAACTGGACTGAAGACTCTGACATTTTCCACTCATGACGACAGGAATTTCAAAATAGTTCAGGGCCGGACCGGGACGACTCCCACACACACCGGACAACAAGGCTGTCAGGAGCCATGTTGGATTCCTGTGAACTTGTGACCGTGTCGTAATGTTGTTCCTCCTGCTCAGATACACATGTTTTCAGTTTGAGTTTTGGTCCGTCTACATCTCCACAGACCAAAAACGCTCTGCTCCAACTTGTGATGTCACAGTGAGGTAGTTCGAGTTCACAACTCCTTTTACAAACCCGTGTGTCATTCGTTTTTCAAGATAAAACCAAAAATAGTAAAATGAAAAAACAGTTTTCTTCATTATTTGTCTCCAAAACCAAAATGAAAAAACAGATAATGATTTGTTTTTTCAGTTTTTGATTTTGTGTTTAAATGAAAAATGGAAAAATCGGATAACGACCGTTTCTTGTTTACGTGACTTAAACTGCGATGCTGGACTTTTGCGCCGCATATGGACTTTCTGTTTTCTGTATCATCTGGACAAGTGGGACGTTAAAAGTTGTTAACAACCTTTTTAAAAGATCAAACTGTTGTCGTGAAAACGGTGTAAATTTCTGGTTTGTTTTTGGGGCTCGCCATCAAACTTTGACGAGTGATAATTCGCAGAAACTTTGGGCAGTTTCACTCAGTCTTTAATCGTTGGTGGACGCCCCGACCCTGAACGCAACAGCGCCCCCAAGGGAGATTGTATGGAACAGCAACATTTTACTTTGTCATAGACATATAAAATTTGGTCCACAGATTCGTGACCTGGTCTTGATGAAAAAAGTCAAAGATGCCCACACTCCAGCTCCCATTATGTTGTCCTCACCAATGGGACGTCCCAACAAAAACTCTGACGTACTCAAATCAAATTTGGTACACAGATGCATCATGGAAACAGGAACAAAAAAGTATTTTGTGACCACGCCCCCCTTCCAAACCGGAAGACCGCCATCTTGGGTTTTTAAAAACATCAACATATAGAAATTGAGAAACATGGAAGGGTTCGGTTAAGATTCGGGGTTCAGGTTTGGGTTTGGGTTAAAGTTAGAGTTAGAGCTGGGACTAGAGTTGGGGCTACAGTTAGGCCTTCGGAGTTGCGATAGGTTTAGGGGTTAGTGTTAATTTAAGAGTTAGGGCGAGGGGTAAGGTGTGTTCGTGTGGCACAGCATGTGCAGGGCGTGGCATAGGTGCGAGCAAGGGCCGATTATCGCCGCTTGCGGCTATATTTATTATTAGTAGTAGTAGTTGTAGTCGTAGGAGTATCAGTAGTATTAGTAGTATTACTAGTAGTAGCAGTAGTAGTAGTATTTGTAATTATCTTTTTTTTTTTTTTTTTTTTACTATAAATACCTATTTTTCTCTTACTAACTTTATTTTAAGTCTTTACTTTAAATCTAAACGTGCAGTTTTTTTGTGTGTGTATTAAACTCGTGTGAATGAAACAAAAACACAAAAAACTCAACAAAACTAGATCAGAACAGAAATCAGAAAACATCCTGATACGAGACCCAGAAATGTAAAAGTTTCCAGCCTCTGCTTCAGTTCTGCCAACTCCTGAAAACTCCTGCGCCGCTATCACATCAAGAAGAAAAAAAATATAAATAAGTGAAGTTTTCTGGCGTGTGTGTGTGTGTGTGTGTGTGTGTGTGTGTGTGTGTGTGTGTGTGTGTGTGTGTGTGTGTGTGTGTGCGTGTGCGTGTGTGTGTGTGTGTGTGTGCGTGTGTGTGTGTGTGTGTGTGTGTGTGTGTGTGTGAAACGTGAGTGTGTGTGTGAAACGTGAGTGTGTGTGTAGTCGTCGTGTGTGTCTTCGTGTGTGTGTGAGTCCGTGTGGTCTCGATCTCTGCACTTACTCATCTCCACAGCAGCTGTATCATAAAAATCAGTTTAAACATCAACTCCTCATTTGCACCATGAGTTGGACTGTGGCTCTGGCGCTGCTCTCGCTCGCCGCGCTCACCAAAACTGATCACAATACTCCACAGAACAGGTACGGACTTTACTTTTTATTTTGATTTTTATTAGATTTAGGCTTAGACCGTCCCTGTGTTATTTGTTCATTTGTTTTTCAGAATAAAAGTAAAAATAAGAAAACAAAAAAAACAACAACTTTCTTCGTGATTTGTGTCCAAAATCAAAATGGAAAAATGGATAGTGATTGTTTTTTTTGTTTTCTTTTTTAAAATTTTTTTAAATTTTGTGTTTAAATGAAAAATGGAAAAAATGGATAACGGACTAAACCAGGACTGAACCAGGACTAAACTAGGTCTAAACCAGGACTAAACCAGGTCTAAACTAGGTCTAAACCAGGACTAAAACAGGTCCAGGACCAGACCAGAATCAGACCGGGACCAGACCAGGAACAGACCAGAACTGAGACCGGGACTGAGACCAGGACTTAGACCAGGACAAGGACTGAGACAGGGACTGAGGCCAGGACCAGACCATGATTCAGACCGGGACCAGGACTGAGACCAGAACTTAGACCAGGACCACCAGGACTGAGACTGGAATCAGACGGTGACTGAGACCAGGACCAGACCAGGACTGAAAACAGTTTAGTCCTGGTTTAGTCCTGGTTTAGTCCTGAGTTAGTCCTGAGTTAGTTCTGGTTTAATTGTGGTATAATCCTGAGTTAGTCTTGGTCTAGTCTTGGTTTAGTCCTAGTTTAGTCCTGGTTTAGTCCTGGTTTAGTTCAGTTTAAGTCACATAAACGGGAAACGGTCGTTATCCATTTTTTATTTTGGTTTTGGAGACAAATAATGAAAAAAATAGTTTTTTTTTTTGTGTTTTTTTTTACATTTTCTTATTTTTGGTTTTATTTTGAAAAACACAACTAAACCAGGACTAGACCAGGACTAAACCAGAACTAAACCACGAATAAACCAGGACTAAACTAGAACTAAACCAGGACTAAACAGGTTTTATCTGCCCGTTTTTATTAATTTCTTTTACGTTTAAGACGCTGTTAATGTTTTTTTTTTATATTTTATGAATGAAATAAATTTAAAAATAGTTAAATATAAATAAATAAAAAAATAAAGCATAATTATAAAAAAGTCAAAAATAAGACAAAAAATTCGTAATAATGTAAAATATCTCAGCAATTATTTTTTTTTTTTTTAAAGACACACTCTAACTACGAGGCTAAAATCTAAAATACAGGTCAGATCTGTGGAGAGGCGACGCAGCTTAAACTCAGAATGAACGTTTTTTGAGCTATAAAAATATTTCCGAGCTGTAAAAACACCTCGACCGAAGTGTTTGCCAGAGAGATAAGTTTAATGCCGTATTGCGAAACATTCAGAGAGAGCAATAACATCTGTCTGATTGAAAAGTTTCGCAATGAAGCTTTAGTTTATGTTATTTTGAGTCGTGTAGTTTGATTTTGTGATGTTCTAATCGTGTTTTTGGTTTGTGCAGAGTGGAGTATGACTACTACAAGTACCACAACATGGAGGAGGTAAGAAAAATATCCAGAATTATTCAGTAAAAATATTTAAAAAGATCGTTTTACCGTTTATTTTCTGATCTAATCGTGTTTCTTCCTCAAAAAAACAAACCCGGACCTGTTTTTGTGTCGCTCATTTTAGGCGTTTTTGAAAATATATTTGTTGTTCTTTGTGGTTTTTACTGCGCTGAGTCTAAACCAGGTCTAAACTGGGACTAAATGAGGTCTAAACCAGGACTAAACCAGGTCTAAAGCAGGTCTGACCCAGGTCTAAGCAAGGTTTAAACCAGGACTAAGCCACAACTAAACCAGGACTACACCAGGACTAGACCAGAACTAAACCAAGACTAAACCAGAACTAGACCAGGACTAACTAAGGTCAAAATCAGATCTAACCCAGGTCTAAATCAGGACTAAACTAGGACAATAACCAGGATTAAACCAGGACTTGCCCAGGACTAAGACAAGTCCAGACCAGGTCCAAACCAGATCTAACACGAGAACTAAACCAGGACTAAACCCAGATTAAATCAGGACTAACCCAGGTCAAAACCAGATCTAACCCAGGTCTAAATCAGGACTAAACCAGGATAATAAACAGGATTAAACCAGGATTAATACAGATTTAAAACCTGGACTAAACCAAAACTAAACCAGGTCTAAATTAAGAGATTAAATCGGGACAAAATCAGGTCAAAACTAGATCAAATTTAGGTCTAAATCAAGACTAAACCAGGTCCAAACTAGGTCCAAACCCGGTCTAGTCAGATCTAAACCAGGACTAAACCAAGACTAAACCAGGACTAAACCAGGACTAACCAAGGTCGAACCCAGATCTAACCCAGGTCTAAATCAGGACTAATTAAACCAGGATTTACCCAGGATGAAGACAAATCCAAACCAAGTCCAAACCAGATCTAGACTAGGACTAAACCAGGTCTGTTTTAGTCCTGGTTTAGACCTGGTTTAGTCCTGTTTTAGTCCTGGTTTAGTTCTAGTTTAGTTGGTTTAGTCCTGGTTTAGTTTTAGTTTAGTCCTGGTTTAGTCTAGTTTAGTCTGGTTTAGTTCTGGTTTTTAGTTTAGTCCTGGTTTAGTTCTAGTTTAGTCCTGGTTTAGTTCTAGTTTAGTCCTGGTTTAGTTCTGGTTTAGTCCTGGTTTAGTTCTAGTTTAGTCCTGGTTTAGTTCTAGTTTAGTCCTGGTTTAGTTCTAGGTTTAGTTCTAGTTTAGTCCTGGTTTAGTTCTAGTTTAGTCCTGGTTTAGTTCTAGTTTAGTCCTGGTTTAGTTCTAGTTTAGTCCTGGTTTAGTTCTAGTTTAGTCCTGGTTTAGTTCTGGTTAGTTTAGTCCTGGTTTAGTTCTGGTTTTGTCCTGGTTTAGTTCTGGTTTTGTCCTGTTTTAGTCCTGGTTTAGTTCTAGTTTAGTCCTGGTTTAGTTTTAGTTTAGTCCTGGTTCAGTTCTAGTTTAGTCCTGGTTTAGTTCTAGTTTTGTCCTGGTTTAGTTCTGGTTTTGTCCTGGTTTAGTCCTGGTTTAGTTCTAGTTTAGTCCTGGTTTAGTCCTGGTTTAGTCCTGTTTTAGTCCTGGTTTAGCCCTGATTTAGTTCTGGTTTAGTCCTGGTTTAGTTCTATTTTAGTCCCAGTTTAGATACAAAATTGTAAACTACGACTTCACAAACCCGATTCGTCGCAGGCCGACTGTGTTGTGATGACGCTCTGAAGGGGGGAGTGACTTAGAGCAGAGAGCAAAGTGCGCGTAAAACAAAAGTTATAAACCGCGGCAACAGTCCGTCCGTTTTCAAAACAATAAACGAAACACGGTGTCGTAAATATGTGAAATATAAACAATAAAAACCCCGCAAAAGTCAAATAAGTTGTTTTTATTTTTATTTTTTTACAGATCAACAAGTGGAAGTCGGACGTCGCCGCCGCTCATAAAGACGTCGTGGAGATTGTGGAATATGGAAAAACCTACGAGAATAGAACCATCGACCTCCTGAAGGTAAAATAAGAAATAATAATAATAAAAATAAAAATAAAAAAGACAACAAATACACCGAGATCTTTTCACTCATTTTAGTTTTTTTTTAAATATATTTGCTGTTCTTTGTGGTTATTACTGCATTTATTATAAACCTGGTCTACACGAGGACTAAACGAGGTCCAAAGCAGGTCTAAACCAGGACTAGACCAGAACGAACTCAGGACTAAACCAGGACTAAATCAGGACTAACCAAGATCAAAATCAGATCAAACCGAGGTCTAAACCAGGACAATAACCAGGATTAAACACGGATTTACCCAGGACTAAAACAAATCCAAACCAGATCTAAACAAGGACTAGTCCAGGACTAAACCAGGACTAAATCAGGTCTTAACCAGATTGAACCCAGGTCTAAATCAGAACTAAACCAGGTCCAAACCAGCTCCAAATCTGGTCTAAAACAGATCTAAACCAGGATTAAACCAGGATTTATCCAGGACTAAACCAGGTCCGATTCCAGTCTAATACAGATCTAAACCAGGACCAAACCAGGTCTAAACCAGGTCTAAATTGAGAGTTTAAATCAGGACTAACCCAGGTCGAAACTAGATATTACCCAGGTCTACATCAGAACTAAACCAGAATTAAACCAGGATTTACCCAGGACTAAACCAGGTCCAAACCAGGTCCAAATCCAGTCTAATACAGATCTAAACCAGGACCAAACCAGGATGGATTAAACCAGGCCTAAACTAGAACTAAACCAGGTCTAAATTAAGAGATTAAATCAGGACTAACCCAGGTCTGAAACCAGAACAAACTCAGGTCTAAATCAGAACTAAACCAGGACAGTAACCAGGATTAAACCAGGATTTACCCAGGACTAAACTAGGTCCAAACCTGGTCTAATACAGGTCTAAACCAGGACCAAACCAGGTCCAAACTAGGACTAACTCAGGACTAAACCAGATCTAAATTAAGAGATTAAATCAGGACTAACCCAGGTAAAACCAGATATAACCCAGGTCTAAATCAGGACTAAACTAGAACAATAACCAGGATTCAACCAGGATTTACCCAGGACTAAACCAAGTCCAAACCAGGTCTAAACCAGGATTAAATAAGGACTGACCCAGGTCTAAATCAGAACTAAACCAGGATTTACCCAGGACTAAACCAGGTCCAAATCCAGTCTAATTCAGATCTAAACCAGGACCAAACCAGGACTAAACCAGGTCTAAACCAGGATTAAATAAGGACTGACCCAGGTCTAAATCAGAACTAAACCAGGATTTACTCAGGACTAAACCAGGTCCAAACCAGCGCCAAATCTGGTCTAATACGGATCTAAACCAGGACTAAACCAGCTCTAAACCAAGATTAAATCAGGACTAACCCAGGTCGAAACAGATCTAACCGAGGTCTAAACCAGGACTAAACCAGGACTAAACCAGGACTTACCCAGGACTAAAAAGGTCTCAGTCGTTTTGTGGTTTTGTGTCTTTTCTAAAGTCCGTGTTTCTTCCTCAGATCGGTTTTCCCGGACACAATAAGTCGATTATTTGGATGGACTGTGGGATCCACGCGAGGGAATGGATCAGTCCTGCGTTCTGTCAGTACTTTGTCAAAATGGTACAAAAACGATTTTATTTCACCAGATTATTATTATTAAAATGTGCCTTTGTGAATTATAAATATCTGTTTTTTTATTTTTTATTATTATTTTAGATTCTTGACACCTACAAAACAGATCCCAAAATGGAGCAGATGATGAAAAACATGGACTTTTACGTGACTCCCGTTCTGAATGTCGACGGATACATTTTCTCCTGGATAAATGAAAGTGTGAGTGCAAATAATTTGAGATTTTTTTTTTGTTTTTTTTTTCTGTCGGTTACAAGAAATTTTAAAATAATAAAATAATAATAAAATTTAAAAAAATAAATAAATAAGGGTCATCAGTGGAAAAAATAAATAAATAAAATTAATAAATAAATAAGAGGCATCAGTGAAATAAATAAATAAATAAATAAATAAAAAATAAATAGAGGTATCAGTGAAAAATAATAAAAATAAATAAGAGGCATCAGTGAAAAATAATAAAATAAAAAAAATAAATAAATAAAAGTCATCAGTGAAAAATAATAAAATAAAAATAAATAAATAAGGTCATCAATGAAATATTAATAAAATAAAACAAAAAACAAAAAAATAAGAGGCATCAGTGAAAAATAATAAAATAATAAAAATAAATAAGAGGCATCAGTGAAAAATAATACAATTAAAAAATATAAATAAATAAATAAATAAAAGTCATCAGTGAAAAATAATAAAATAAAAATAAATAAATAAGGTAATCATTGAAAAATTAATAAAATAATACAAAAAATAAATAAATAAGAGGCATCAGTGAAAAATAATAAAAAAATAAAATGAAATAAGTAAGTAAGTAATAAGTAATAAACTGTTAAGTGCGCAAACCCGAGACTCACTGAGGCCTTAACCAGGACTGAACCATGTTTGTACAGCTCTATACTAGGGCTAGACCTGGACTAAGTCTGGTTTACACCAGGACTAAACCAGGTCCTAACCCCAGGAGAGAACCACGTCCAAACCAGGTCTAACAAGGGTCTAAATCAGGACTAAACCAGGACTAACTCAGGATTAAACCACAACTAAACCAGGACTAAACCAGAACTAACTCAGGACAGGACTCAGGACAACTAAACCAGGACTAGATAAGGTCTAACTCAGGCCTAAACGAGGTCTAACCCAGGTCTAAATCAGGACTAAACCAGGTCAATAACTAGGATTAAACCAGGATTTACCCAGAACTAAGGCAAATCCAAACCAAGTCCAAATCAGATCTAGACTAGGACTAAACCAGGTCCAAAGCAGGTCTAATACAGATCTAAATCAGGACCAAACCAGGCCTAAATCAGGACTAGACCTGGGCTAAACCTGGTCTACATCAGGTTTAAATCAGAACTAAACCAGGTCTAACCCCAGGAGAGAACCAGGTCCAAACCAGGTCCAAACCAGGCCCAAACTAGGACTAGATCTGGGCTAAACCTGCTCTACATGAGGTCTAAATCAGAACTAAACCAGGTCTATCCCAAGTCTAAAATACAGTTAAAATCAGAACTAAACCAATTCCAAAACCAGGCCTAAACTAGGACTAGACCTGGGCTAAACTTTTTCTACACCAGGTCCAAATCAGGTCTAAACCAG